TGTGAGACTAAGCATAAGAACGAATAATTTATTTTATCAATGTGTGTGTGTGTGTGTGTGTGTGTGTGTGTGTGTGTGTGTATAGACAGCACTTGGTTTTCTAATTAATTATCTATTATAAATAAACAACATGTTATTCATGAAACTTAAAATGAGCTGTGTTTATTAAACTTTTAATGATTAATAAATTGAAAAGCAAAGAGAACAAAAACTGACTACATGATACAATGACACATTTACAACACATATATTCTTTTTGTTTTTGTCTGTTTTTATTTGTGAAAGAGACACTGAAGCAGCTGAGCTTTCCAGCTAGCTCTGGTATTCATTCTTTTTATAATTTCTAAGCATATCAGTTTAAAATAGGAAGGATAATCCGACTGAGTACTGCAGTTATGATCCCCCTATACAATTTCTTCTCAATCCAGCAAGGTTCATGGTGAAAGAGTGTAACTAAGTCAGGCTTGGAGCAACAACAAGCAAATAATTTCAAATAATAACATATTTTTGTATGTGTGTGTGTCTGTGTGTGTGGTTACAAGTCCATACATATTCAGAATCAGTACAAATGATAGATTAATCTTGGCAAATTAAAAGTTTCAAGTGTTAAAAGTTACATACATCTCCTACCTTCCCATCACTTATGGTACTCCTTCCCTGGAACTTCACTGATTTTAGTCGTGCTCTTTCTCTTCTTTCAACCCTGCAATATAATATAACATAATTTTAAACAGTTTTTCTAATTTATCCTTCTTTAAAAAACTGCCACAGTAAGGTTATATTTCTTTAAATATGAGAGAGATTACTCACAGAAAAAATAATAATAATTCCACATTTTTGAGTACCATGTTATACGTACTCATCTTTCACATCACCTGTGATGTATCAAACTTATAGACTGACTTCTAACTTTAAAACTTCCACAACCCTTCTTACATATTCACATGTACAGAGAGAATGTTAATGAACTGCTCAACTTGTCACTAAAACTACCAAAAAAAAGCATCAACTGAACCTGCCAACATCATTATATCAGTGGTACAAATCATGATGATCATGTTTCACTAAACACATAATTAAATAACAAAATATAATATTTAAATACTTTTGTCTTCTGCATCACCCATTCTAAAATCCCTTAACTACAATGGAGAAGATTGTTCTCATCCTAAACTACAAAAAACAAGATCCAGGGAGTGCCAAACAGTAAATGTAAGAATTTTTCTTAAGTTCAATAACTAGCTGCACTTGAAAATATTTTGACCGCATTTCCTGTCCAGATGTGCAGGACAAAAGAACAATGTCCTCCTACTGAGGGAGAGTGATTCATACTAAGTATCTGAACAGATTTCTTAATCAACGATAACACAGGGAAAGTTCAGAACTAGCCATATTCATTTGACACTTTAAAGCAGGGCTCATAATCAATTATTCCAACATGCCTTATCATGAATCAGTAAACACTATTTTCATGAAAACCCATGAAAAAGAAGGTTGGTCTTCTCCTAAAACAAGCCAGAAAATTGCACTGCAAGAGCAACAAGAACTCATGAGAAACATATCTGGCTAACCCACACTCTGGAATTAAATCTTCATCCACACATCATATTACTTCCCATAGTACAGTAACAATTATCAGAATTTATTTATTTATCAATAAAAGCTGGAAACTGATGATAGGGTGATGTAGCAGCTTATCTCATATACCCCGGCAACTCAACAAACTACCTCACATTCCCAAAGAAAGTAAAAGTTTCAAAAAATTGAGGCCTAAAAAAATAATGGTCGTCACTGAGAAGGAGACTCTGGTCAAGAACAGAAAGAGGCAGAATTAAAAATATCAATAAAAAAATCACCTATCTGAATGATTTAGATCCTGAGCATCAACCAAAAGTCATGAAGATATTTAAATCTGACAACATGACTACGTAATACATAAAACAATAAAAGTATTAGTAATTAATTCTCCACATCCCAGCACAAAGAATAGCTTCCACTACACTTTATGCTTTTTAATATAAGAAGAATTCACAGTAACTTTATTTGAAAAGAACCAAGATGACATGATCTCAAACTTTTAGTTGAAAATGTTGGAAGTAAACAAAAAATGCAGTTTTCACATGTGAACAGGCTTCTGAAACAGTTAACTTTCCTGAGACTCACTTATCATACAAAACAGCTCCATACTCTCAGGGACAATAACTACACACACACACAGAAAAAAGTTTCAAAACTGTAGGTGAGTAAGTCAAAGTGACCTGAGCACATATTTCAATGACTACTGAAATCTCACTAAAAATAAACAAAAACAAGCTGGATCAACAGCTGAGTACCAGATATCAAGAATACAAAGGAGACAGGTAGCAACCTACTTCCTTCATAATGTTTATGTAACTGTGGTCCTTTATCTTGCAAACTAAACAGCAGCAGGTTATAGCTAGTAATCAACCCTTTTACTGATAGATGGTTAAACTCAGTTGAGCCAGGGTTAAACCATACACCTGGAGGCAGATGAATGTACTACTTTCAAAATCACAAAATACAATTATATATAATAATGTCTATGTGAATACTTCAGCATATCATAAGTATGGTAGTACTTATAGTACAAATGGGGCAGATACACAATACATGCAATATAAACTATTTACTCATATACACCTTTAACAACCAAATAATTAATTTTCAAAAGTATTTAAGAGACACCTTTAGGTGACAAACAAACAATATACAAAATTACAAGTCATAGAACCACTTGAGAAAGTCAACAGAGCAGATTCAAAAAATTCACAAAACCACAAGTTTCTCAATCTCACTGACTGACTGACATTGTTGAACACTTCTAGCTATGTAACAGACAGACTTACCATAGTTATAAGTGCACCAAAAAGAACAATAACATGAAGACCACGTGCTAGTGCTAGCAATAAGTAGTTAATTGAATTAATTAAGTTATCAACCCTTAGTATATGCAAACAACCACAACTAACACTACACCACCCAAATGACATTGCACACTACAGAGTGTGAGCCATCACATGTACAGCACACATGCACACTCACAATGTGTAACCACACCATAAGTGAAGAGAATGCACACACACACACACACACACTATATTTGCACATACCATAATATTATGGTGCACACCCACACTGATTATATACATACAGAATATCAACACAAATTAATGAATGATGCATAAGATTGTGTCATCTTGTATGAAAAAAGTTAAAATTGAAAGTGTAGAAATGTGTGCATCAAAAAGTGAAGAAACAACACAGGAATGGACATGGTGTAATAAAACTACCTCTGAACAATCTCACAATGGGACGTGTCCAACATCTTGTCCATGCCTACACCATGCTCATTCCTACCTTGTTTCCTCACTTTCTGATGCATCCATTCCTACACTTTAAAGTGTTTTTTTTTCCAATTGGTGAGATTATAATACTTACAAGTTTTTTCTTACCATCAACTTATCAGACCAGAAATTTGAACATTTTAAATTGCACTTATTTTTATAACAAAAATACAAATAGTATTATGTCTTACCATCAAACATATACCCGAATGAATGCATAAGCTTCTTTTATTAGAATGATTGGGAGTTATTAAACAGGCTAAAAACTGCTGTATTATGAAAATAATTTAGTTTTAAAACAACCTAAAATATGAGAATTAGATTTACATATGACAATGTATTATTAATATAATTTTGAATTATATATCCAGTTACAAAAACACTTTGATAAGTACTTAACCTTCTTCGATTCTAATGATACTAAGTTTTAAATTCAATAATGAAATGCACCATTATGAATATTAAACTTCATTTTTACATGAATGACGTCAACTTATGTCAAATGAATTGTTAGATGAACGTTCACATGTATTTTATTTAACTTTAATTATCTTTAATATTAATCCCTTACTTAATATCTAACTTTCTGCTACTGGAGTGAATTAAATTATAAACAGAGTTAGAAAGTAGTAATTATAAAAGTTTTTAACTTTCTTGTACAGAAATGACACTAGGCCATGTCCAAATAAGTGCCTAAAAAGTGAAAGACTAACCTTTTTTTACTTGGAATGATTCCCATGCCCTCCTCCTCACCATCTGAAAGAATCTTTCTTGCCTGCCACCACTCATCATCACTGGCATTAATGACATGAAGAATGTCTCCAAAACAAAATGGCAGTCCTCTGCTAGGTAGACCACTATCTTTTGAGGGATCATAGTCAAACAGTGCTCTACAATAAGCAAAATATATAACACAATGTGCTCTCATTAGCAATAAACACAAATGAAATAATCTTAGAAACACCTAAACATTAAACTAGTTAATCAAATACTTTTTGAAACCAGAAATGGCTGTTGTAAATACTACCCTCTTACTAATTAAAAGATTTTTTGTGAACCTCAAGATAACAGATAAGACTAACCTCACATGAAGGGATCGCTTCTGGGAAGTACGTAAGCTGCCAGACGTTGTATTTAACATTTGTTCCCGTAGGTCATGAATTTTTGCTTCAAATCTATTGTACTCTGAAACAAAAAAAAAATTCACCAATTGTTAGCACTAACAAAAAAAACCTAATATTCAAATATACATCATAACCACCAACTGTAAATTAATTTCAGATAATTTCTGCACTTATTATTCAATTAATTGGAGAATGAATCCAAACAAATAAGAGTATGACTACTTCTTAAAATATATAAAGCAAAAAGTAGCTCAAGAATCCTTGTTTAAGCAACCTAAGGGTCTATAAAATGCATTATTAACTAGTTATTCGGACTCAAAATAATTAAGTTTCGTGATCATGATTAAAGATATATAATTTAAACAACTACTGTAAATTCCATAGTGGCTGGTTATTTCCACTTTTGAAAACTTTCTGCCAAGCCTAAAAAAATGGAAAAAAGAAATATATACTTGTAACTGCAATATTTTCTCAATATAAGCTATTTCAAGTTATTGAAATATTGGAGAAAAATTTTTTAAACCTAGATTATAATCAGTTATCTTTTTTTTTTTTTATCTCTTGCACTTATTGCAAATATATCAACATTTTGCATGTCAGACCAACAAAAATTCGGTATCAACTTCCTGAAATCATATTGTTTGATAATGGGTATGTCAAACTATACATCATCTAATACCAGCTTTCCGATATCGTATTGTTTGACACTGGAAAAGTCAGACCTAAAACATCCAACACCAGCTTTGTGATATCATATTGCTTGGTATTAGGTATGTCATGACAAAAAAAACAAAAACATTCACTATTAACTTTCTGATATCACATTGCTTCATATTGAGTACGTCAAGCCAAAAAGTATTCATTATTAGCTTTCATATATCATGTTGCTTCATATTGAGTACGTCAAGCCAAAAAGTATTCATTATTAGCTTTCATATATCATGTTGCTTCATAATGGGTATGTCAAGCCAAAAAGTATT